TAGGGCCATAGGGCTACGGGGCTATAGAGCTATATGGGCTATGGGGCTATAGGGCTATAAGGCTATTAGGGCTATAGGGATATAAGGCTATAGGGCTACAGGGCTATAGGGCTATACGGCTATAGGGCTATAGGGCTATAAGGCTACTGGGCTATTGGGCACCCCCGGGCACCCGGGCACCCCTGGGCACCCGGGCACCCGGGCACCCCCGGGCACCCCCGTGCACCCGGGCACCCGGGCACCCGGGCCCGGCCACCGAAATCGGCCGCCCGGGCACACCCGGGCACCCGGGCACCCGGCCCCGGCCACCGAAATCGGCCGCTCACCTCACCTCAGCTTTATATCCGCTAGGACCCCTACAGAAGCAAGCTCTGATTGGGGAAATACGAATCCACAGTCCGCAAGGCCAGCTTCGCGCCACGAACGCTCCCGCCGCGGATTTCGCGCGGAGCGCGCCAGGGGCGGCGTCGGAGGCGCCGCCAGGGGACTCAAGCGCTGTTCCACGGAATCCGAGCGGACCGGAGAGAAATTGGACGTATGTAATTGATTAAGTGTCCTTCGGTCGTGGGCGCCGCCGTCCCCTCCCGCCCCTTGCGGGCGCACGATCTCGACGCTCTGCTGCATCAGGCGCTCCTGCTGGATGATCTTCGGCACGTGGATGATCTCCTGCGGGGGGGTGGCGGGCTCCGTCTCGCAATCCCGAGCCCAACGCTGAGCAAAGGACGAACAACATCCCGTGAACATACACTTTCCGGAGTTCCGCGCGGTTGTCTCGAATCGGCGCTTCACCACGCGCCGCGCAGCAGACGAACAACGAACGATACAAACAGAACCTTTCGGAGGTCCGCTTGGCCGTCTCGGATCGGCGCTTCTCCGCCCTCCCTGGCGCGCGCGGAGCACGCCATGGGGTGGCGCCGGAGGCGCCGCCAATGGGGAAACCGAAAGATGCCGATACCGCTGCCCCCCTGACCTCTCCCGGGGTGCGTTCTGACCAGCACTTCGAGTCGACTCCAGCCATGGCGACGAAGGCCGCCCAGGAGGCCCCCAAAAAGTAAAACGAGGGAAGGGTACCTCTTCTTCCTCTGATAGAGGCCTCCTAGATGGGGTCCGAGTAGACGGGTTCGGAGGATCTCGCCGCGTCGCCGATACATCGGCGATGCCCTGGCGACGTCGGCAATGCATCGGGGCTGTCGGCGTAGAGAGAAGTGGTCCCCACATCGAGCCGCATCGGCGATGCATCGGCGATGTGGCGCGATCCTCCGACCCCATCTACTCGGACCCCATCCGCCTAGATCTGAGGATCGGCGCTGCTTCTCCGCCCTCCCTGGCGCGCGCGGAGCGCGCCACGGGGTGGCACCGGAGGCGCCGCCAGGGGGCCCGAGCGCGATGGTGCGCGGAACGCCCGCGGCCCCCCGCGGAGCGAGGAGCGAGGGAGGAGGAGCAGAACCTCCAACTCAGTGCTTGATACAGTAGAGGCCTCCTAGGTGGGGTCGGAGTGGATGGGGTCGGAGGATCGCGCCGCATCGGCGATGCATCGGCGATGCACTGGCGACGCATCGTCGACGTGGGCGATGCATCAGCGACGGCAACGTGAAGCAAATCGGGCTTTATATCGTGTCGCATCGGCGATGCGGCGCGATCCTCCGACCCCATCTACTCCGACCCCATCTAGGAGGCCTAGAATCTTAGAACAGTCAACCCGTATAGTAAGGACGCACGACAAGGATGCAAGGGCATTGGACGCCCATTTCAAAGCTTTCCGTGCGGGGCGCGGCCAACGAAAGTGGCCAAGGATGTGCCGAGGAGGCAAGGATGCAAGGGTACCTTTGGGAAGGTTGCTCATCCTTATCAGTACATTAAGGACGCACGACAAGGATGCAAGGGGCTTTGGAAGGCCGCGTCAACACTTGGCGATCCTGGCGCGGCCAGCGAGAGCGGCCAAGGATGGGCCGAAGGGGAAGGCTGTAAGGGTAACCTTGGAGAGCTGCTCATTCTCACTGTGCGGGTTGACTTTGCCATGAGGGAAAGCTGCAACACATCAAGTGGACAAGATCATGTGGATTATCAAGCTCTGTTCTGTTGTGGAAGAAAACGGGAGCAGACCACGAGAAGGAGCCTCTGACTATCACAGCCTGTTGCACGACAGGCACACGAGCTACAAACGTGAGGGCAGACATCCAGCGAAAGGTACAATGCAATATACACCTATATATATAATATCAATTTATATATATATATATGTATAAGCATATATGTGTAACTGTGTATATATATATATATATATATACATAAAAACCGGCCCACTCGGGGGGGCGCAAGGCAACGATGGTGTGTGCGGTCTGCTGTGATGTGTTATGCGTTGTCATTTGTTGTTTGGCATTTTGTCTCTCCAGTCCTATTTCCTGCCTCCTGTTTATTGTCTGCTAGGGGGCCACGCCGCGCCACCAAACAGCCAACTGGGGGGGGGCGAACCTCAAATGCTGGCTGCTCCGGGTCACCCTAGGATTCTGCACCGGGTCACCCTCATGGTCACCTCATGGCGAGCGGCCAGAACGGCCTGAGAGGCCTCCAAGATTGCCCGAAGAGGCTCCGCAGAAAGCCTCAGGAGCCCAAGACGGCCCAAGATGACCCCAAGATGTCCCACGATGGCCCCAAGACGGCCCAAGATGCTGCCAACATGGCCCAAGAGGCCTCGAAGAGGCCTCCCAAGACGGCCCCACGAAGCAAAAAACAATGATTCCCTAGCGTTTTAGGTTTTTGGCCTTCTCGACTTTTCGGCTTTCCGACGCTCCGTGACGGACCAGGAGGTTCCCAAGATCGCCACACGACGGCCCTAGAAGCTCCCTTGACGGCCCAAGAGGCCCCCCAAACGGCCCCAAGACGGCCGAAGAGGGCCCCTAGACGGTCCAAGAGGCGCCCCAGACGGCCCAAAAGGGCCTTAAGACACACCTGAGAGGCCCAAGAGGGAGTCCACGAGCCGCGAACTCGACCCCGAGAGGGCCCCAGGAGGCCCCAAAAAGGTCACAAGAGACCCCAGGAGGCCTACTAGAGACCCCTAAATGGCCTCTAAGAGACCCCAAGGAGACCCCCAATCAAAATTGTTCAACAAGAGGCTCTCAAACGGCTTCCAAGAAGCTCCATCACTGACCCGCAGACGCTGCCGAGAAGTCTGCCCCGAGGAGCACCCACCGCACGCACTAGTAATAGGGGGCCGGCGGCAGAGGGCGAAGCCCTTGATCTCTCTCTCTCTCTCTCTCTCTCTCTCTCTCTCTCTCTCTCTCTCTATATCTATATATATATATTATATATATATATATCCAGGGGGGGGGTCACGGGGGGGGTGGGTGGGGGGGTGGGGGGGGCAGATTCGTTTTTCCTCGGGCGGCCTCGAAACCTCGAAAACACTCCAAATGAGGTCCGAATGCCCAAGATGGCCCCCGAGACGGCCCAAGAGTGCCCCGAGTCGCCCAAAGATCGGCCGAAGACGCCCAAGATAGCCCCAAGACCGTCCAAGAAGCCTCCAAGACGTCCCAGGCCCCCTCCAAGAGCACCCCCAAAAAGGGCCCAAGAGGCCACACTCATTACTTTTCCATCGGGAACTTACATTTCTAGCATATACGACGTTTCGGCCTTCACGGCGTCACAGACAGCTTCGTCTTCAGGGTCGGCGGCACCGGCCGTAAGGCCTTCGCAATATATATATATATATATATATATATATATATATATACATACAATATATACATACATACATACATATATATGTATATACACACGCGTGTGGATACATGACTGTTTATACATGGATATATGTACATACGTCATACGTCCACTTATGTGTATATATATATATATATATATATATATATATATATATATGTAGATGTATAGATGGCATCGGGGAGTGCACCAAAACAAATAACAACAAAAAACGCAACAACAAAAACGCTCCGAGATGGATTAGATGGCTCCGTGTTGCGAGTTGCGTGCGCCTACCAGCGGCTTCGCCAGGGGACACCTTTGACATAAAGAGCGACGGTCCGTGATCAGAGACTTGCACCGCCCTCCTGAGGCACCAGGAGGAGTTAGCGGGGCGCCCTCGCCACAGATGCGCGCGTCCAGTGGCCAGCCTAAGGGAAAAGGAGTGGGGCGTAATGAAACAAAGGGCCCCCAGTGTCTGCACCGGCCCTCGGGCGTATGTATACGTACGTCCTCTATGTCCTCTATGTCCTACAAAGACGAATCCCGCTGAACAAAACCCGCCTACCTGCTCCGCAGGAAACTACCCTGGGCAGGCCAGCCTGGCACAAAGGGACCTGGAGGAACAAAACCCAGGCCAGCCACGAGACCAAGTTCAAACAAAACGCCTCCGCTGAGCGCCCTGCACCCACCCCGCGGGGGCCGTGGGGCAGCGAGCTGATAGCGACGAGTCGGATAAGCCGTCGCATCTCGCGCAGGAGCGAAATTCACGCGCTTACGTTTTGCTTCCCGGGAGAAAAATCAAACGGGCCCCGTGCGGGCTAGCGGAAAAACCAGCCCCTGGAACTTGCCAGACTGGGGTTCCTTGCCCGCTCTGAGCTTGTCCATTTAAAGCCGCGCGAGCCAGTCGAGCCGCTGTCCGAGCCCTGAGCGAAAAGGGAGTGCACGGCTGGGAAGGGAGCAGGGCCTGGCGACGGCCATACGCGCCGCACGTTCGGCAAAAGACAATCGCCTCCGTCCCACCACGCCCATGGACCCCCGGAGCACTCCCCGCCCCACGTCCCACACCCCGCAGGGTTTGGACGTGGCCGCTATCCTGGGGACCCCCGAGCCCGGGCATTAAGAAACCAGACGGGGCCTAGGGCCCTCCTGACTCCGCATTTCTCGCACCCTCAACACCTCCCGAAACGAACGAGCCCCTCGGCGAACTCTCTAAAATCAGACCCTCTTTGGGAGGGGGGGCGCGGGCGGGGCAGGGGACCTCGGTCAGGCCAGCCTAGACGAGCGTGCCTCTCTAACACCTCGCCGTGATGGCGCAGGAGCAGGGCGGCGGCAGCCTTGGACGTCGCCCACCTCCGCTCCAACACCTCAATGTTCAGCTGCGGGTGGAGCCTCGCGCCGAACTTCGCGAAGCGGTCGGCCTCGCGGTTGCCCGAACTCTCAAACCGCGCCATCCCGCGGCGGACCGCCTCTGGCCAGCTGGTGTGAGCCTTGACCCACCGCAGCGTGATGTGGCCCGCGCCCAACTGGTCTATGTGCCAGAATACGCCAATGCCCAGGTCAGCATTTTTCTGGCGCGGCCCACGACAAATTCGCGGCCCCGATGCTAATCCTCGCACACCGCCTGGCAGTCGAGCACCGCCAAAGCCTCGTGGCTCTTCTCTTCCAGGGTCTTCAGCAATGCGAGCAGCTCCGCGTAGCCACTTAGCCAGGCCCCTGGATCCAGCCCGGGGCGTCGCCGCACATGCCCCCCAGGATCTCGCCTCGACGGGGGGGCAGGATAGACGACCAGCCCGCGTGGGATAACTGTCTACACTCAGGGATAGTCGCCGAGCCGTCAATGCAGACCACCCCATCGGAAAAGCTCCCTCAAGGCGGGGCCAGCTCGCAGGACCGTGCCAGTTGAAATCGGCGGTGGGGCATGATCGAATTTGAGATCCACCAGGCCCCTCAGCACGCCCAGGTCGCCGGGCGCCGCAACGCGCCCAGCCAGAGCGTCAGCCCGAACTACTCCGCCCAAGTCCTGGACACTGGGCGCTTGAACATCCTCTGGTGCGTCGTCCCCGAGGCCATCTTGCACCGCTGACAACTGGGTTCGGTCTCGGAGCGCTGCGGGCACATGTCGCACTGGGGCACCAGCCCTCCAGCGACGAGGGCCGCCAGAAGCTGCACCATCTCAGTGTGCCCCTGCGATCGACGGCCCGCCTGCGCGAGCCGGATCGGGCGCAGGTCGGGCGGGCGACGTCGCGGCGCCTCGAAGACAGGGTGGAAGGAGACCTCGCGCATCAGACGCCTGTGGACTCCTTCTTCATCCATGTCGACGAGAACCCGTGGACTGAGCACCTGAAGGTCCAGCGCCGCACCGCGGTCATCGCGCCAGGACTTAGCCGCCCAGCCCACCCGCCTGGGCGTCAGCTTTGCCGCCGCGGCGGGCCCCGCGATAGCGGCCCGCGACTCAACCGGCGCCGCGAACGCCATCTTGAAGACGGCGTCAGGCCTGAACTTCCCGAACACCGCGGTCGCCCAGGCCTGCAGCGGCAGCGCGTTGGCGGCGCGAGCTGGGCCCTGCCTCCACGCCTTGCCGCCCTGAAGCGCGAACTGGATGGTCCTCGACTTCCTGCCCGCCTCTCCCGCCAGGGCCTCGCTGTTCAGGGCCCGGGCCCTGGCAGACTGCTGGCTGGGGGCCCCGCGGACGCGAGCCCCGGGCAGGGTGGGGGCCAGGCCGCCAATGCGAAACGCGCCGCCCAGCCGAGCCCCCGCCCTCCGCGAGGCCATGGACCTGGGGGCCTTCGCTGCGAGGCGAGCGAGGCGTCCGCGCAGGACCTTCCAGGGCGCCCTTGCGCCCATCGCGCAATCCACGCCGTGGTCGCGGGCCTCCCTGACGCACCTGAAGTCCCACTCCGCGAGCCTCCTGGCCAAGCGCGCCCCCGCAGGCGGGTCGCTGGCGAGGACCTGGCCTGGCCCTTAGCGGGAGGCACCTTGAAGCCCAGCTCCTCCAACAGGCGGCAGAGCACCCCCGTGGCGCCGAGGACGGTCGCCTCGATCTGCTTGAGCCCCCCGCAGACCACCAGCGTGATTTCGTCGACCACCACGCAGGTCTTGACGGACTGCCAGCACCTCAGCACGGCATCCACGGGCTGGACGAGCACGACCCTGATTGGGGTGGCGGCGATGGAGCAGCCGGCCAGCAGCGACAAGAGGACGTGGAAAGCATCGGACTTCCAACGGTCCAGGCAGGGACGGAGTCGACCTCCATGCGAACGCAGGAGCAACATCGCCCTGCGCACCCCCTGTGCGTGACCCTCTCATAGGCCTTGCTAAAGTCCAGCATGGGCGTGAGCGCCCCCAGCTTCGCGGCCCTCGCGCGGTCCGCGGCGAAGCTCTGGAGCCGCGCCGCATCCTCGCAGGATCTGTCCACGCCTCGGAAGAAATGCGGGCGACCCCAGCTCCGGTCCCAGGTCTTCGCCTCCGCGTGGCGGATCTCCCCCAGCCGCCGCAGGATGCTGCAGATCAACCCGATCTGCCTCCAGCCGCCTTCGGGCTTGGCCAGGGAGACAATGAACACCTCCGCTACCCGCGCGGGGAACTCGACCGCTAGCTCGATGAAGTGGAGCAGCGACCCACAGGCGACCAGGCCATCGGTGGACAGCCACCCAAACTGGCTGGGCTCGATGCCGCCGACGCCCACCGCCGCTTCTGACTTGAAGGACTGCGCAGCCTCCAAGATCTCCAGCGGCGTCGGCGGCGGCAGAGGAGGCTCGAGCAGGTCCTCGGGGAGGGCCTGGTCCAGGTCGAATTCCT